ACTAAATGAGTGTTTTTGTTGTGGTTGAATTTGCTCAGCATACTTGAAGAACCGATGGTTGCAGTGGTGGTTCTTATTTTACTCTTCTACATTCTCTGTGCCATTTACTATGTCGCAATTCTGTTGATGATTGTCTTAGAACTATGATTTTTTATTACTATGGGTTGGGATGCTTAGGTTTCGGTGGCGACAGCAGTATCGGCGCAGATATCCAGATGAGTTTCTAGACAGATCGAATGCAAGGTATTAGTTTGTTTTTATTTATGTTTTTAATACTTGATGTTGAAATACCAAGCTTTGATATGATTGTTATGTTTCCTGGTTTCCCTCATTATGGTGATCTCAATCCTTGGCGTACTTGCTTATGGTCACATCATTAAGTCTAGATATTTATACCGGACATTAATTTATAATGCTGTGACTCATAAAAAGAACTGATTTGGTTCCAATGTTCCCTTTCCTTTTTCCTATTGAATTGCAAATGTTAATTCAGTTTCAAAACTGCCCCAATCTGTTATTGTGCTCCTGAGTGGGAACTTCTTGTAATTTTATATATGCTATCTTATTAATATGTCTTACTGTTTTCCACTGTCCTTATTAAACCGTATGGTGCAGTGAAACTCTAGCTGTTGCATCAATGTAATTCTTATGACCTGAAAAATGAATTGGTGCAACTATAACTTGTATTTCTTTGTTTGGTCCTAGTTTGGGGCAATATGGTTACAACCTGTTCTCATGATTTTACTTTCTTCACCTTCATAGTCTTTCTTTTAGTGTCTTCTCTTTCCTGTATGCATCCATTAAAGAGATAAATAATGATAATTGAAAAAAAGTAAAAATAAGTATTTGATTTCGCATAGCTTTATGCAAATATTATGTTACATCCAGGGGGAAAGGTGACTATCAGATTGACTATGTGCCAGCTCCTCGAGTCACTGAAGCTGACAAAAGCAATGATAGAAGGTATGCATTAAGTTGCTGGATTTGCATGATTTACCCTGAGAAGGTATCTTTCTTTTTTTAAAAAAAAAATAAAAATGGCAAGAATACTCGGGAACTTATGAGGGAAAATGAAATGGTTCTACATACAGGGACCCGAAATGTCATACATTTATGTCAATCCAATGAAATATGTATTTATTTTACCTTATCCTAGCATCCTTCAGACTGGGCAATTGTCCATCCCTCTTGGATGGTATTAGTTAAGGGCATTCTTAATAAGTTATTGCATGGGTTCTCTTTCATATTACTTGACTTGATTATTTGTAATTGGGTTGGTTTAGCAGCCAACTACTCCTGTGTGTGCCTCAGTTATATTAATTGTTGTTTCATTAGTAGAACTTTATACCATATGTTAGTGTAAAACTAGTGACATACAAGTATGGCCTAGTTATATTTTAACTAAATCTTTGTCAGGCAAAGTTAATTTAAACTGCCATTTATTATTATAATAATGCACTCTTATTCTTCTTTTTATTCATAGGCCATACCTATGGCCTTGCCTTTTGGTTACTGGTGTTTACTTGTTACATATGAATGGGTTGCAATGTTGAACATGCTTGCGCATGTTGGTTTGATTGATAATGAAGAATGCTCGTATATGTAACTTTTAATGTTTACATATGGTGAATGAGGTGGCAGTAGCTTGTATAATTTGAGAATCTGAAAGATGTGGAAACTCATTAGTTTGGCGTACTCTTTTAATTGTTTATTAAACATTTTTAAATTACACCCCTTCAGGTCATTGCAAAGAGCTCTTGACAGAAGATTGTACCTTCTTTTGAAAGGTATACCATATGGGGCTCCAAGTGGAAAGCCCGTCTGGCATTTTCCAGAAAAAGTTTATGAATCAGAGGAGACACTACGCAAGGTGGAAACTGCTATATGACTTCTTCTTTTTTTTCTTTAACATTTATTTCCTTTTCTTTTCCCCCCTCATAGTTTTTAACAATTTGCAGTGTGCTGAGTCTGCTTTGGAATCAGTCATAGGAGATCTTTCTAGCACCTATTTTGTCGGAAATGCTCCAATGGCCCATATGGTTGTTCAGTCTACAGATGATGCGCCAGGGTCTGCATCCTTCAAGGTGCCTTGATGAGAAATTTTTCAGTGCTTTGTTATTGCAATTTTTAGCCTCTGGTCATACGTAATTTCATAGGAGAAAAGCTTAAGTACAATTATTAGATATTTTTTATCAAGTGTTTTTAAATATAATCATAAAATTTGGGGAGCTTTTTTTCCAGGAGTTGATAAAAATTCAACCCTCTAGGACTTCTCCTAAATCTAGTCCAAATACCTTTTTTTACCCATCTTTGAGGGTTTTTCTTTCTTTCTTGTCTTGGTGCAGTTGTACTGCATGAATATGGAAGTTGGCTTTTTCATGTGATCCCACGCTGCATTTATTTCTCACTGTGAATTATGCTTACCATTCTTCTTTTTTGCTGAAATCTTGTCAGAAATTCTTCTTCAAGTCACAAGTAATTGCAAAAAACAAGTTCAACATTCGTAAGTGTGAGGATTTTGTTTGGGTGACAAAGAATGAACTGATGGAATATTTTCCCGACCATGCTGAATTTCTGAACAAGATGATCATCAGCTGATATTAATCGCTACGCCGAAGTTACACAGGGACTTGTTTCTTGGAGCTCCATGGTCTGTATGTATCAATTTTAAGATCGTTGCGAGTTAGTTGATAGAATGAATATAGAGGATCTCGAAGAGAGGATCGAGCTAATATAGAATTGCTAGAGGCAATTGAAGATTTCAATTTGTTTTCAAGTTAAATGAGGCATTGCAAATTTTTGAAACTTTCTTGAGTTATTGGAAGCAAGAAGGGCGCTGTTTAAAACTCCATTTCCTTCTGTGCACCTTATGTATTTTATTCTCAATAATAATAATTTAATTTTAAAAAATTGATTTTGTTTCGGGGCTTTTTCCCGTAATGTATATTTACTTTTAAGTCATCCGTGAAGGGCCGGGATGATAGCCTATGCAGTATGTCAAACTGGGTTTGTATATGTCTGTCTTACTTCATTATGGGCCGGGATCGGCTAGCGTTTCTCTATTTTCACAGCAGACTATTAAATTTTCCAAAAGATCGCATGATTTTGTGAAATTAACAGTTTTTTTCTCTCTCATTGAACTTGTATTTCATTACCATAAATGGTATATTTGGATTTATCCTAAAAATGAGTTTGTGCAAGTCACGCTCTCAATTTGACTCATTTTAAGTATGGGTGAAGCTGTAAATATACCAATAAACTTATATTAAATGTGTGTCTGATACCATAAATAAATCTTGGATTAAAAAGACACATGATGATTTCAAAAAGTTATAAAAATACCCCAACCGTTAATTTTTGTAATGTTGATTGTTTGTTTGATCGAAGGTGTTGACGTAGATGCTAACATAAATGCTTATGTGGCTTAGAAGGTCTGATAAAAAAGAATAAAGATGTAAATATACCTATGAACTTGTTCCAAATATGCACTTGACATCATAAACAAACCTTGGGTACAAAAATATCTATGATCATTTCAAAACAATCCTAAAATGCTATAATTGTTTAATTAATCAAAGATGACTTTTTAGTTCAAACTTTTAACTAAAAAAGGTAACACGGACCTTGAGCTAGTGTTTCAGTCTCCCTCCTTCAAGTGCAATTTGCTTCTCCTTTCAAATGATCACGTTTCAGTCTCCCTCCGATCCCAATGATGTTTTCTCCTCACTATTGCACTTCCATTGAAAATAAATAAGTTAAAACTCTTCACAAAACTTGCTCCATCATTTTATCTATCAAAATCTCTCTTTTTCTAAAGAGAGCAACCCTACTCTCTCTCAGTTGTTCTTGTCACATCTCCTCTAATTTGCAAAAAGGAGGGACTTACACTTGAAGGAGGAAGACTGAAATACTAACTTAACGTCCAGGTCACCTTGTTTGGTCAAAAGTTTGAGTTAGACAATCATTTTTAATGAATTAAACAACTATAGTATCTTAGGGTTCTTTAGAATGATAGTAGGTATTTATGTGCCCTGGGTTTATGTTTGGTGTTTGACATATATTTGACAAAAGTTCGCAGGTATATTTGCACATTCACTCTTTTTTATTAGACTCTCTAAGCCATGTCAGCATCCACATCAGTGCCTTCGATCAAACAAATAGTCATTGTTACAAAAATTAACAGTCATTGTATTTTTGCAATTTTTTTGAAACCATCATGTGTATTTTTGCACCCAATGTTTGTTTATGGTGCCAGGCGCACATTTGGTATAAGTTCATAGGTATATTTGCACCTTCATCCTTTAATTATTCATAGTGTTATTATTTTTCAAAATTTATTAATTTTATACCATGTTAAATTTAAACCATCTAATTTGATATGATAATCCATTGGTTTCCCAAAATGATACGCATATAGCATTTATTAGCAATACAACCTTTACCAGTATCCAAATTCAAAAAATTTGAAAACTCAAACTTTACGAGCATCCCACCAGCAAAAAAAAAAAGGAAAAGAAAAAGAATTCAGCACGTGCGAATTATGAAATAAAAAGTAGAGTTGAATGAGTCGTAAAATGGAAGGAACAAAATGAATGAACGTAAGAATGGTGTACGGTTGTTGAGGCAAGTTGTAAATAGTGAGATGTCTTAGGGATGATGAGAATTGACCACCCAAGACCATGGTGGTATGAATAGATGTTGTGTATTAAGTGATTAGCCCAAAGTTAATTAAGCTAATGAATGTCATTAAGTAGTAATTAACAGGAAGGCAATTAAGCTATCTTGTAAGCCATGCTTAACCCAACCTAAATTTCAACTACTTCCGTTCAACTGCCTCAAACCCTTCCCGTACTTCCTCTTCATTCTCACATTCATTCCCATTTCTCACAAGTAAGCGTTCCTTACCCACCAACCTCCTCTTCTCCTTTCGTTATCACCAATGAACTAATCCTCCCTTCACAAACATTTATATGTCCATAAAAATAGTTGATCAAATTAATTCATTTAATATATATATATATATATTATCTGTCTTGTTTAGTATTAATGTCTGCCCAACTTCTTCTACCACCCACCACCTTTCTCCTCCTCTTGTTTTCTCTATAAATTTCAACCTTCAAACACACTTTCATTCTCTCTATCAACTTCTTTCCGTTTCTCACAGCCAAACCCTAGAAAACGCAGCTCAACAACATGGAAAACCACCTCCTGCAGGTGGACCCACCAAGCCCTCCACCTCCGCCGCTGCTTCCATCATCGCCGCCTCAAAACCCTACCTTCATCTTCCCGGGCTCACCGCCAGGGGTGGAAGCATCGTCGTCATCGGTGCTGGAAAAGCCGCTGGACCCTCAAGGGCTGCTTGACATTGACTGGGCTAACATATTCTCAGGGCAGAGCAATAACTTTCAGGTTGGGGTTGGGGACGCCGTTAATATTACAAGCAGTTACAAGCCAATGATGGAAGGAGGAGGTGGTGGTGTTGGTGGTTTATCATCGTCGACTTTAATGGGTGAAATGAATGGAGGTCATGAGGATATGGAAAAGGAGAGTCATAATAAAGAGAAAAGAAGAGGAGGAGGAGGTAGGCTGAAGAAGTCGACGAGGCCGAGGTTTGCTTTTCAGACCAGAAGTGCTGATGATATTCTCGACGATGGTTATCGTTGGAGGAAGTACGGCCAGAAAGCTGTCAAGAACAGCGTATATCCCAGGTTTGTGTATCTTTTAACTGTGCTTTAATAAGTTTTTCTTTTAATCCCTTGATACTGCCTCTATATATTCCCTTCGTGTCACTTGTAATGTTTTCTGAACAAATTACTCCTTCCCTTTTTTATATAAGTTCCAATTAACCATTTTTTTTTTTTGACCTTAAAAGAGGAATATTCATTAAAGGTAAATAAGTACAAAGCCCAAAAAGAGGTCCAAAAGAAGAGCTAATAACAGCCCAGAGCCGAAAACCCTAAACCTTAAAAAACTAAACCTAAAAACAAGAGGGACAGCCGCCACTGAGGTCACCGAAAATAAGCCCACCGTCTTCTCGTTGGAATCTGCAGGGAAAGAGGCGCCGTCACCGGCATCAACACCATTAAAAGGGGTGGGGGTTCGAATGAACCATCCCAAAGGACCCAACCCTCTGCTAGGCAAAATAACAACCCAAAGTGGTTGCTGAAACACCATGAGAGAACTCATGGGAGGAGAAACACCCATAGATGCAAGCCAACTAGACGAAAACACAGAACGAGGAATAGGAGATCTCACCGCCGACCTCACGACGAGTAGCACCACTATAGGATAACTGGTCTCTTTTTTGATGCCTTGGATTCGCACCAATAAACTGAGCCACAAACTGTCCTCTGAGAGATAGATCGGAAAGCAACAGAGACAGCCATCAACACAACCCTTTCCCCAAAAACACAACCCGAAGGCATCAGCTCAGGATCGGAAGCATTTGAAGTCAAACTACCAGTAAAACAAAAAACGCCGTGAGAAAGTCCCTGAAAGCCCTTAAACAAAGGAAAAACACAGTACACCACCATTAAAAACCCAACACCACCGAAACTGAAAATGAAAACGAAAGGCGGCCGCCCCCTCCTCCGGCATAAACGCCGGAGAGGGAGGCGTCGCCACAGCCGCTCGCGCCGAGGCGAGGAAGAGAAAACTCCCACCACTCACAAAAGTTCTGGAGAGGGGGAGAGAGAGCTCGCCCGTTGGCGAGGAAACAGAACTAATTCCAATTAACCATTTCAAATTAAGTATTTCTTGTAAAATATCAAAATTGCCTTCAAAAAAACAAACACTTAGTTAGATGAATTGGGTTGATTAATTAGGTCAGAAGTAGTAATTTATTGGACGAGACATGTTATATTGTAAACTTGTTAGAAAGAGATGAGAGAGTAACTAGTTTGATGAAGAAAAAAAATGATGAGAAAATTTTATATTAAATTACTGGGGAGAGTGCAGGTATCCATAAATAAAACAAGCTAAGTTTAATTTACAATGTTGATAGCATAAAAAAGTAGTTGTTTTACTTCTTACGGGGAACTTGCTAGGATGATGACAAGTAATGATCTCTAACGTAACAATAAATGCATATAATCACGGAAGATACCTATGGTAAGCGTTAAAAGACAGTAAAACCACAACGTTTTTATGGACCCGAAACGCAAATTTATAATCCCGGTGAGATATATCTATATGCCTTGACATCTTTTCTTAAAAGACAAAGGGGTAAATAAGAGCATGAACCCCAATAAAATGAAAATGATAAAATTGAAATATCCATCCTGCGAGGACTAGTATGTTTAAACTACGAAAACTTTCTTTTTAATTTCTTTTTTCAGCATATTCCATGTGTCACTAATACATAAATTAAACTTTTGATAGCCTCTAATTTGAAACTTAAGCATCTCGTAGAGGTCATTTCAAACTCTCTTTTTTTTTTTTAACCCAAAGACAGATGCCTATGCATAAGTCATATCATTACACTCTTATAATTAAGTACAAAGAAGAATAAGATAGAGTATGCCAGAAATATATAACACATTTAGGGCAAACAAGTAAAAGGAAACATCAGATTTAACGTTTTTCTCTGTTAATTGTACAGATTAACTTAGTTAAATAGACTAAGAGTTTGAAGAAATAAACAGATGAATTAGGTTGAGTTTGAAAGAATCCAGGTCTTGATATAAGAGCTTGGACCATCATAGAGAGTGCAATATTCAGACCTGTAATTAGACTGGTTCAACCTGCATTTCTTAACTTTCAAATACTCTCTAATCATCCTACTTAATACTCATTAGGTCTATATCTTTTACGAGACATTAATCTGGTCTAAATTTAATTTATTATTGAAACTTCTTTTAGCAATTTCTTGAGTGTGTGTGTGTGTGTTTGTATGACTATTTTTAATCGAATTTTCTCCTTTAACTGTGAAGTCGTAAGTATATTAACTTATGTAACAGATGCTATCGTGCATTAAATACATGTATTGCAGGAAGTGCATGCGTGTGACCCTATGTGGTGCACAAATCCAAGATATGTTATACTGTTTATGACTTATGAATTTTTAATAGATTATTATGCATAATATATTGATAATTTTATCAAATTATATTGGATATCCATGCATATTTAAATAACTAACTAAGCCAACCAGGTCCAATATTTTCTAAGTTCATTTTTTGATCAATTTGTTAAGTTAATTAGAACTATCAGTTTAATTCAGGGCCGGCCGGGACAGTGCAAAAACATTATCAGTTGGATTCGAGTCTTAACCAAAATCAACCAAACCCTGTGAAACGAACTCCTTTTACACTGATAATCTCTTCTCCTCTAATAATAGATGTCTGGGGAAAAATAACTTTTCCCTTCTTAAATCTTAATTAATCACTTTACAGTGGGTGCATGATACACACACACACACACACACACACTTGATTCTTCAACCGTGTACATATTTTTTATGTGAAACCGAATGTAAAAGTATTAGAGTTTTCTTTTTAGGAAAAAAAAAAAAAGGTGCTTTGGATACACACACAGAGCATAATTAGTTAAACCTCCTTAGGTAGAGTTTATTGCATGGTCAAAGAGACCATTACCCAGAAAAGAAAAGAGGCTGTTTGTCAGGAATTGAAAAGTCAGACTAATAAAAAAAATTGGTTAAGCTAATTGTGTTTTAAGTGTTTCATAACATCATCATGCGATTTATGTATATGTTCGCATCAGTTTCTAGTAGGTGATGTTTGGTGATCCTGTAGATCCATCCGTCTTCATGAAAACTTATTAGGAATTCGGCAAGAACTTCATCAATAATCCATCTGCCCCACATATTTTGAAAAACTAATAATTCGGAGAAACATATAACTTTTGGTATTCAAGTTTATATATACCTATAAATAATTGTCCTAAAATTTAAAAAGATAAGCTCTTTAATTTGAAGATGGAATGGTGTACTGCTGCTATTGTACTACCTCCGGTCTTTAATATCAAACCTTGTTTGACTTTTATTTTGGTCCTAAATATAAGACCTTAATCTACTTTGTCTCTCATATTTATGTATTTTTTTCTAAGATAATCTTTTTAACAATAATGGTTCTAATTAATATACTTGATTAGTAAGGATATTTTTAGAAAAAATAACATCTATTTATTACAAATAACTAATTTAACTTCTTTCCTTAATCTCCTCAAATTAGCCAACTAGCTCTTATAATTAAAACTGGAGGTAGTATTACTATGTGTTCTTTTCTGATTGAATCCAAATCCATATAAGAACATGCATTTATGATTGTTTTTTTTTTTGAGCAAACATTTATGATTGTTAATTAGGTTTAATTACATGCGCATATATATATATATATATATATATGAATGAGGTGAATATATATGTATATATAAATATAATATTGACATGGGCGGGTTGGTGTGTTTGACATGAAACAATGGAAACAATGGAAAATAAAGGAGCTACTACAGATGCACGCACCACACATGCAATGTGAAGAAACAGGTGCAGAGGTTGTCGAGAGATACAGGCATCGTGGTGACAACGTACGAGGGAATTCACAACCACCCGTGTGAGAAGCTCATGGAAACCCTCACCCCTCTCCTCAAGCAGATCCAATTCCTTACCAGGTTCTAGCTAGCTACCACCTGCCCCCTCCATCATCTTCCGTCCCTTTCAAATGTTTCTGATGTCAGGAAAAACAACAAAAAAGGTACAGAAAGAATAAACGTCTGTAAAATAAGGTTGATCACACTCATCTTCTTTCAACTGCTTGGCTTGTTTCTACCTATATGTCTTCTACGCTTCATTTTACATACTGTTTGTTTGTAAACATATAAATTTGTGTATACGTACAACTTATATATACAGTGCCTCTAATCATTTAATTATATATATACACACACTTCTCTGGATAAGGGACTTCTAATATGTTTCACACAAACTAAGAAAACATTAAATTTTATTAACTTTTCATTAAAATATAGCAACTTTTCAACTTTATCTATATTTCATATATAGACTTTTAAAAAAAAAAACCATCTACACTTTAATAAATGGAGGACAATATATATAGTACATTGATAACAAAAATTTAATGAAGTGACTTATAAATAGGATCAAGAAAAACCATCTCTCTCTATCCTATGAATAGTACCATAGGAGTACAAGTTTATTGGCTGCTGGATTTCTAGGCCAACTCGTGAAGACGGTTTAGATTAAATAGCAAAATATTAAAAAGAACAGTTTTTCAATTTTGAGATTCATACCCATGTCTATGGACTTTATATCCCCTTATATTGGTGTCAAATTTAAGATAAACACATTTTGCTCATTTGTTTTTCTAAAGTAATAAAAATGGAAATAATGTCATTATTTCTTAAATAACGTAACTATTTTCTCCTAAAATTTCGTGGGATAAATACTAACTTTATTTTTATTCTTTTTTTTTATAACAAAAGTATTGTCCCTTTAAGACATTACAAATGAAAAGTTAAAATCAATAAATTCTAACAACAAAATTTGTGAACCTAATTACATGATTAATGACAAAAACTAAGCAAGGCATAGCTTGAAAGAAAAACAAAAAAGAAAAAAGGCGAGCCTTTTTTTTTCTTTTCTTGTTTTTGCTTTTTATACAGGAGAAGTCTTGAAGCCTAGAAAATAAAAAGACTAAACATGGGGAGTAGATCCCAGACACTCGTTAGCCGCTAAGATCCTCAAATTGAGAGAACTCCCGTCTAAAAAGGAACAGTTGGAAACTCCTTCCACTGATCAGCCACCTTGTTTCTTTCCCTGGAAATATAGCAAACTCGCAGCTCCCTGGGATATCGCATGAACTTTTTGATTTGCAAAAAGAGCAGGTTACCTCTATCTTCTAAAGAACCATTTGATCAAGTTCTGTGCATCTGACTCGAGGATGACCTTCTTTAAACCAAGATCCCAAGCAAGATTGAGACCCTTAAAAATAGCTCATTCTTCTGCCCCCACATCCCGCTCTGTTCTGAGAATGTGTAACTGCACCATCCACATTAAGTTTAACCCATCCCTGGGGGGAGGTGTCCAGGTAGAATTATTAATCTGGGAGGAGTCTCAGTCAGATTCAAAATCCTGTATCTTCACACAGTGCTTCCAGGCATGTAAAATGATAAAAGCTGCCTCGGAGGGCTTAATAAAATCATCATCAAACACCGCATTATTATGCTATAACCGAAGCTTCCAGATTGAAACACCCCAAATAAATTGCCAATCACCGTTATGATCATTTCCCAAATCTCTCTTCAAATTTAGAGCAGACCAATCACGTAACGAAGATGAGAAAAACTGAGAATCATACCTGGGGCTTAACAAATGTAACCAAACAAGATCTTGCGTATTCGGAGTGCCCAAGGAATAAGGATATGCAACACATCCTCACAGCCATCATCACAATGAGGACACAACGGCGGAGCTTGAGACCACATGCTCCTCCATGTGTTTGCAGAAGTCGATTATTAAAAGCGACCAATACTCTGATGCGTTTATCCCTCTTCACTTCCATATAGCTGCTTTGAGAGTAGATTGGAAAGCATTGTTAGGGGACTGTTCAAGTATAAAGTAAGCACTCTTCACTGTGAAGTTCCAGTCATCAGTGGCGTTCCAAGAAATAGTATTATTTCCAGCCTCTATCACGGGGGGTAAGACCGTACGTGATTAATTAATTTCTGAGCAGCATTACTAGGTATCGTTGTCGCTAATCTAACAAAGTCCCAAGTACCGTATGACACCCAATCAGCAACTTTGCTAGTTTCCTCTTCCTCTGAAAGTGGCCGCCGCCACAGCTCTTTAATTAGAACAGAGGCGAGCACAAAGAAAGGAAGAAAGCAGTAATGCCCTCCGGTGTGACTGTGAGCGAGTCGCATGCGTAGAATTCTTAGTCTGGGCTAAGCAACCGGGCTTGAGCCAGTAAAGAGTGGGCCCACAACAGTTATTTTATTTACATTGGGTGGCCCAAAGAAGAATGGGCTCGACATAATACGCAGAAGAGTATATGAATGGCAACGTCTTTTTTAGCAAAAAAAAATGGCAATGTCTTTTTAATTGCCGCTCAGTCCGAGTCTGAGCTCGGCTTAACTCAGATCGTCATCCCCTCTCAAATTATATTACTACTATACTACCTCCGGTCCTTAATATAAGACCCAGTTTGACTTTTTATTTGGTCCTAATTATAAGATCCCAATCCATTTTGTCTCTTATATTTATGTATTTTTTTTCCAAGATAGTCCTTCTAATAATGATAGTTCTAGCTAATACACTTAATTAACAATGATATTTTAGTAATGACAATATTTATTTATTACAAATAACTAACTTAACTTACTTCTTTAATTTCCTCAAATAAGTCAACTGGGTCTTATAATTAGGACCGGAGGTAGTATTTAATTATCAAACACACTGATGTTCTGTGTTATCCTTTGGAATAGATGTATGAAAAATTGAAAATAACAATGTGAAAAAGTCAAAAAGTAGTACTTTATGAACATGGTATCTTCCCAACAATGCCGGCTGGTTTGTTGCTCACACTTTTAAAATGCAAGAGTTGAGGGAGTCCGTAGTTTTTTTTTTTTTTTTTTAATTTTCAATTGGCCATTACATAACGCGGGAGCTAGTAATTCAATTCTTCTTGAAGAGTAAGGTAGTGCAGTATTGATTATTTTTAGCCTGGCGTTATGCCTAGGAGTAGTGATTAACTATTTAACTCCAATTCAATATTCTTTCGCTATTGAATTTTATTCGGAGTAATCGCCGCAATCAAGGGAACATTATTTTATGTATTCCCTTTTGTACCCCTTGTATATTAAGCTAGGTTCCATGCACTTTGTTGCTTATGAAAATAAATATTTATTGTCAGATCTGCCGTGTGTGATTAATTATTGAAATCCCTTTTGTACCGACTTCTTGCATATTCATTTGCAAAATTCCCCCGATTCGCGACCTTAAACAGAATGGCAAGCTAAATAAATTGCCCATATACGAATTAGTCCTAATGGGGTAGCCTAATCAATATTAAAGAAAGCACCTCTCACAAATATATATATATATATATATTTATGCAAGCATTAATTTCGTTTTTTTTTTTTTAAGGGCACATTAATTTGAAGATATGGCCACACTTAACACACACACGCCCATATAATTATATATACATGTATATTATCGTCAGAGAGGAGGATCGAGAGTGTTATTTTTCCATTAAGTACAATTTTAATATCATATATATTGCGGGCTAGCTTTGGCCATTAACCTGTCGCATACGTCTGAAAAAATTCTGCATAAATAGAAGTAACGCCTGCTTGCCGAGATGCACAAATTAAGTTATATATATACACATATATAACTTCATCCCTTAATCTCCATTCACCGCGTTTTCTTCTTCCTTCTACCCAGAATCGTCGTCCGCACACAACGCTCATCAATGGAGGTCAGTTTCTTTCTTTCATTTCCCTGCAATTTTTTTCCTTCGCTTTTCCCCTCGCCTTTCTCATTAATTTATATCTTCATCCATGCACATCTCTCCTCATCCTTTAATCTGTTTTTTGATTTATTCTCGATGACGAGGTTTACGATTTAAATCAGTTTCCTGAAAAACTTCACATATGTAGCATCATCCCACGTCTTTAATTGTTATTAATCATGGACGCAGCATTTTGCAGTTTTTCCCGGAAATTCGTTCACAAATCAAGAAAAGAAAACCAGTCACACGCCTTCACAATTGCTTTACCTTTTTTTTCCCCCCAATAAATACGTGAAACTGTCTCATTCGTATGTGCGGATGGTTATGAGCAATAACCTTACTCATCACCTACCTTGGATCTTCTGGGGAAAAGAACAGTTCACTCTATTTGGCTAAAAAAAAAGGGGGAAAACAATATTAGGTGATGTTTGATTATCCCCATCATCTCAAACTTTCAATTCTCAAGTATGAATGAGTAAAGTGTTCTTTTGAAATATCAAAAATTTAATTTAATTTTCCATTCTGTCCCCATATGAATTATAAAATTCACGTGAAGCTGCAGTTTTCATGAACCTTAATTTACACAAGATCCCACACAATTAATATTAAGATTCAAATTTCAAACCATGTGAAGTAATAATCCAGATTAAGATACAAGACACCACATAATTAATCGTCACCATAAAAGAAGCGTCCAATCAAAGCACCGACCAAGTTGGAAATCGAAATAACACCACGCCAAGTCGTGGGATTTGGATCTATCCTCCGTTCCCGTCGTTAGCGATCGATCGAGAATCTCAGATCTCAGAGATCGGAGGTCACGTGCAGCCTCCGATCGATACGACTACGTACGCAGGAGTGAGTTTTGTTTGAAAATGAAGGCGGGATGGAGGTTGAGGACAAAAGTGACGGCGGCTGTGATATCTGTGAGTGTGATAATAGGCTTATGGAAACTGTCGCAGGCCGTCAAGACGTACGTTGCGAAGAAGATCGCCGACGTGCCGATGCCGGAGGCGAGTGTAGATGATGTCGACTTCAAGAGCGTGAGCCGGGAGGGAGTCGAGTACTTGGCCAAGGTCTCTGTTTCCAATCCATACCCAACTCCTCTGCCCATTTGTGAAATATCCTACTCGCTCAAGAGCGATGGCAGGTACGTTCGCTACTGTTCTTGAAGCCACAGGATTGAAAATGGAATTACAAAGATAGATTAGAAAGATGAATTACAAATCTAGTTCTTAAATGATTGAGAATGTGGTTGCAGGGAGATAGCAACAGGGGTGATACCAGACCCGGGGTCGTTGAAGGCGAAGGCATCGACAATGGTGGAAGTGCCAGTGAAGGTGGCTCACAGTATATTATTGAGCTTGGGAAGAGACGTGGCCAAGGACTGGGACATAGACTATAAATTGGATTTGGTGTTCATAATTGATCTCCCTGTCATCGGCAACATCAAGATTCCTGTTTCGCAGCAGGGCGAGATCAAGCTTCCTACCCTCTCTGATTGGTTTGCCTAGCTCAATTATATATGACATCTTTTTTATTCTCATTTCTCAAAACAATTATAACATTCGCTTGTTCCATCTAGTATTTCTCTGCCATTACCTTTGTTGTAATGTCGTTTAATGCTCGCATTGTTCGCAAGTACATGCTGGATTTCGTTTGTATGTCGCATTACAGAGTCTCAGGAGTCGAAGACTTGCTATCATGTTGTTTGTGTCTTCCTATGTATGATCTGGTTCTGTCATGCCTCGGTTTTGGGTGTTTCAATAGTCGTACCAGAATCTGTTGGCTAATTTTACTTCTGGGGAAATTTGCAACATATCGACAGAATTAGGCCTGTCCGGGCCCGAAGACCTGTCTGGAGAAACTCCCCTGTTCATGTTGTATTTCAGGGGGGCCTATAGCTAAACTTATATAGTCTAAGACGCTGATCAAGGGTGAGCTAAATCTGGCTTTCAACACTCAAAAAGTGACTTCAAGTCCAAATTTTTTTTTTTTCAAAGATCGCTTTTGAATATGAAAAAAAAAAAAGGCTCATGCTCCAAAAGTAATTTTAATGCTAAAGCAACTTTTTGTTGCTTCCCACATGGCATGGGTTTGGCCGGGTCTGATTCAAACCACATCAACTTTGCATCACTTGTCTCATAAATTCATCATACCCTGCCTTATTTTTAACAGGGGGGGTCATTAACCCATTAATTCTATTTAAAAATAAATCTCAATTTTATCTATGATTAAATTTTTTATTTTTTGAAAAAAATAATTTTTTTACATTCCCCTTCACTGATAAATTTCTAATAAAAGAATATAGCAACAAATAATTTTTTTGGATGAAACAATAAATAACTTCATAACAATTTTAAGAATATAGAGATTTGACCTATTTTGAGCTAATTAATTATGAATATCCACAGAAAGGTATTACGAATTCTATATGTTGAGTTAGTCAATAATAAACATATTAACCCAATGAAAGCTCTTCCTTTAAAATTAATTTTATTTAATTTTGGGAAATATTTATTATAATTTTGGGCTAATTGAGATAAATCTTTATTGAGAAATTAATTGACAAATAGTCTCTTAGGATTTTATACAACTCAACTTTTCTTATGTGTAATTTAACTTCTTTACGTTACATACAGTCTATCTTCCCGGAACTAGTTTCAGTGCTCATCACCTTGATAAGCACTATAAACTCATCAGATTTAAATGGTTTATATCTGATTTGAACGATCCAAATTTAAAATTTTTAATTATTTATTTTTAAATAAAAAATTATTTTTTAAAAAAATGATAGTGAAGAGATTATTTCTATTTTAGATTCTATATATATTAAAATAATTATTTTAAACAAATAAAAATAAAAAATAAATCAAATCTGAACCATCCAAATGAGACATGAATGATTCAAATTTGATGAGTTTAATATGCTCATCAAACTAATGAGCACCAAAACCGGTTCCCTATCTTCCCTTGTATGCAATCTTTTTTTCCTTATGTGTAAGTTAATTCTTTATGTCTAAATAATATGTTGTATCATTTAACTTTTTTTTATGTGTAGCCTTTTTTTATATATATATACAACGGGATCATTTGTCAGTTAATTTTTTAACGGGAATTTATCCACAGTTTTTCCTATAATTTTTAGCTTTAGGAAGAGAAATTGAAGATAAGCAAAAGTGGCAGGTGGGGCCATGGTACTTTGCCAGGTGGCAAAGTCAAGGATGTCGGGAGCAAAGAGTTGAGGGCCGCCAAAAGGCTGGTGGAAGAGATGCAGAATGGATGTGGGGTCCTGCTGCCACCACAGGAGTCTTACAAATGGTGATTATTTGATTTTTCAAATTATCTCGATTAAAAAATAATTACTATTCTCAAATACGTCACTTTCATTGAAAGAAAATACCCAAGGTGAAGAAAAAAAATGGAAGGAAAATATTTAAAATGAGTTAAAAATTTTGATCGTAAATTATTCCTAGAAAGTCAAAATTAAAAATTAATTTTTGGGAGAAGAAATCATGAGTCTCATGTCACTGTTCTCATTAAGAAGCTGCCTTCCAGAAAGTCTGACTCGATTTTTTCCTTTTTCTTGGCAGTAATGCATTTATTGTTTGCGAGACTTTTTTACTGCTTTAAAATTTCAGCTTCTTCATTTTGAATGCTCTCCAGTACCTAGTAAGAGTGTTCAATTTGCCTCGTTCCGGTCGTCTAATCCTGGTCTCGGTGGGTTCAGGACAGAACGGGATAAAAAAATTTTTCAAGACTGGACAAAAATGGGACAAGACAGGACGAAACACTAACTGAGACAAGATGAGACGCAGGATGGGGTCGTCCCGTTTCAGGTTTTTTTTTCTTTTAAAAATTATTTATTAATAATTATTATTACATTATTCAATTTATTTATTAATAATAAATATTATTTTTATGGTGATTTTTAACTCTTAAGTTGTAGTATTATCTTAACGAAATCTCCCTCCTCAATAAAATAATTTATAAAGTAATTATATAGTGTTTCTTTTATGGTATTTTTTTTACAGTATTATTTTTGTACCTTTTTTTATACTATATAATTAAGTTCTCTATATAATATTTTTTACAATATTTTTATCTTTAGAAGTCCAATAAAAAATAAGCATTATAACATAAAAAATTTATATAAAAAATTATAGTATTTTTTATAAAAAAAAGAAAAGCGAGACGTTCCGATCCCGTCATAGGACACTGGACAAAATTCCTTGTCCCGTTCCATCCATCAACACCCCTAGTACCTAACACTCTAATCAAAATTTAATACAAATTTAAAATTTTTAATGATAAACTTATTTTTTAAAATAAATTAAATTTATAAGATATTTTAAATTTTTTTACCTATTAAAATAAAAAATAGTTTAAAATATAAAGAAATTGAATTGAATTTAGGACATCCAAAATTAATTTAAATGGTTTAAATTATAATAAACACTCTTTGCTTTATCCCAAAAAAACACTCTTTACTCATTTTTTTTTTCTATAAGTTAAATGTTTTTGGATGGCAAAATAAATAAAGTTAAAAGTTTTATAAGAACACTGGAGGGAAAAAGTTTTCATCTTATATTTTTATTTCGGTTAAAATGAAAATATTAAAACAAAAAATGAAAAAGATAAAATTTAGATCGTTTAACAAGTTTTCTAACGGAAAAAAAAAAAAGAAATTTCAAATAAAACGAGAATGTAGTACGGACATAATACATAGATATTCTTAAAAAATAATAAATGGGACCGAAAACCAGCTTGCTGCTTGTCGGTCGGTTCATGTTCCAATAGAAGTCCGTTTCCAAGTTTCTTTCTATTCCCTAACAAATAGAAGAAACACTCTTATTGCTGACAATTGACTCGATTAATTAATTATATATATACTCGTATTTATATATTCTCAGCCCCCAAATAAATTCATCTCCTTGGTCTTTCATATCGGCTTTCAATTACTTCATTTCTTTTCTCCGGTCATCTATGGGCGGGCCCGAGCAAGCTCAGCCGCTAGCCCCAACTTCGGGCGCCGGCGCCGATAAGGGAGCTCGTCGGAGAAGAATGAAATGGTGCGGATGTATATCAGTCTCTCTTCTACTTGTAATTATAGTGATCATCATCATCTTAATATTTACAGTGTTCAAGGTCAAAGATCCCGAAGTAACAATGAATCAGGTGAAAGTCACAAATCTGGATCTCAAGGTCGATGCAGTGCCTCGGCTTCAAGTTAGGGTTAATATGACTCTGGCGGTGGCCATGTCGATCAAAAATCCTAATGCGGTGTCCTTCAGGTTTGACAACACCACCACCACCATCAACTACCACGGCACCACGGTGGCGGAGGCGTATGGGCCGCCGGGCCGGGCGAAGGCGAGGAGCACGTTTCCGATGAATCTCACGGTAGACGTCTTGGCGGACCGACTGATAAGCAGCTCGGGCCTCTTCACCGACATCACCGGCGGCGAGATGAACATGACCAGCTACTCGATAGTTCCGGGAAGAGTGAATATTTGGAATATCGTGAAGAAACATGTGGAGATCAAGATGAATTGCTCTTTGACTATTGATATTAGTGGCCGATCGGTCAAGGATATGATTTGCAAGCGTAAGGTTAGACTTTAGATACGATTTTTCGTCGTAAGTTTTCATCAGGTTTGTGTCTTTATTTTTATGGTGTAGAGATTTACGTGGTTCTAATTTCAACTATGGGTAGATAAACAACAGCTCCTTTGCTTAGATATGATTTTTAGAAATCGATCAATATTCCAGTTTTCTTATTTTTATTTATTTATTCCCCTGATCTTCGAGGTTCGAATGTTATGGGTGGTCAGAGGGACCCGTCAAGTGAGATGAACCAGAGAGGGTGGGGAACCTTGTTGTGGGACCTACATGTTCAAAAGTGGGTCTATCTCTCTCGTCTTTACCATCTCCATCTTACCTTACCTTTTTTTTTTTAAAAAAGTAAAACCGGTTTTATATTAAATTCTGACAACTGACATGACTAAATAATATTAATTAAATTATTTAATATGGTATTTTTAAAAAAAATATTCTAACAATTTTTTTAATTCTCTTTTTTTTCCTCTTACTTGATTATTATTAATTTAAATACATATAAAATAGATTTTATATATAGGATAAATATCAAATTAAATTAATAAAAAAGTCAAGACGTGCTAAAAACGCGTAAGTTTATATATATTCCGGTCCAGGCGGTAGCTGGTGGAAGGAATGAATCAGGAATTGGAGGAAGTGACGAAAAAGTGGAGAAATTCCAGAATCGAACAACAGGTCATGGTAAAACATGATATAATCTCTTATATGATAAAAAAGCTGGAAAAAATAAACTTGCGTTCCTTGAATTATGATTTGTAGTAGTAGTAGTAATAATAATAATCATAAGGGATAAGATACATCCGGTTCCTCAAAATATTTTTTTAGATACATCCAACACTTTAAAATATTGTGGTTCATCCAGTATTGTGAAAAAATTTTTAAGTATGTCCAGTACTGTAAAATACTACCTCCGATCCTAATTATAAAACCCAATTGACTAATTTAGAGAAATTAAAAAACTTAGTTAACTTAGTTAT